CCACATTTGGGAATCTGACTGTGCCATGTGCAGAACTGCGCACAGACCAGGGACGAGCTTGACAGAGGACTCTGGAGAGGCTTTGGAGTCATCGTCACTTTGAAAGTGGTATTCCAAGTTCTAAGAAAACCAGGGGGGAAAAAAGCACTCATTCCTCTTCTCCAGTAAAATCTCAGGCAGAGCCTAGAACATAAAGCCAGCAGGAGTCACCCGGGCCAGTCAGGAAGCAATGGCTGCGCCTTTTCGTGTGTGTTCTCTCTCCACACCCCATCCTGTGGGTTCCCCAGACTGGATTCAGCTGTGTAGGGTCCTCGGGTTAAAGAGGCCACGCTCTGGTTCAAGGCGGGGGCAGGGGGGAAGCCCCACCTTGTCAGCCTCCCCCCGACCTGTACCCGCTCCCAAAGCAGCCCTGGGGAGCCCAGGGCTCTCAGCAGCATCATGTTTTGTTTTGTTTTTTCATGCTTAACTAGCTCTTCTACCGATGAGAAACAGACCAGGGAGGTAGCGTGATTTCCCAAAGACACAGAGCCATTCGGTGTCAGAATCAAGATTGTTACCATCCACAGATAATTGAGTCTTCCGTGAAGAGGCTTACAATGCGGGTGAAGGGCAGGATGTGTGGACGTGAGGAGAGCGGAAAGCTCTGACGGCCTGTGCCCACCAGGGCCTCACAGCCCACAGGCATCCGGGAGACCTCGTGACCCCTGGGAACCGAGGCGCTCCCTCCTCTGAATCCCCTCAGTGGGTCAAACCTGGGAATGGATGTGGGCCCGGGTGCCAGTGGCGGCCCTAAGGAGAGAGCAGGGAGAGGGGAGGGATGGGGACACGGTGACAAGGAAAGGACACGCGGGGCGGGCGGGGTTGGGGAATATTGTCGGGAGGGAAGGGGAGGTGCTGGGAAAGGGAAGAGATGGAACCACTTGAGCGGCGAGGTCCCCACTCCAGCCGGCAGCAGCGGAGGGTCCTGGGGAGTCCTGGGCGTCCCCTCGCCCCCCACCCGCAGCTGTGCGTGGCTGCGTCTGGCACGTCCCAGCCTTGTCCTCACGCCTCCTCCAGCCTTTTCAACCTCGACCCACAGTGGGGCCTGGAATCAGGCTGCCCCAGGGTGGCTTCCAGAGTTGCCAGGGGTTCCCGAGATCACAGAAACGGCGGGTCCCGTGCTGGACCTTGGTGCGTTCTCAGGGCTCTGGGAACCCCAGAACCAGGCCCGAGGAGGCCATGAGGAATGTGAGCCCATGAGGCCAGAGGCACCTGGACATCAGCCGGCCGGAGAGCGGCTTCCATGGCTGCACTGATCTCCACCCCCGGACGTTTCTATGGCAACGCCCAGTGTTTTGAAAGGATGACCGAGCTGTTTCACTTGTTTACGTTTTCTTGTTTGTTTTTTGGTTTTGAGGAGAGGGTTGGAATTACTTCTGAACACAGAACACAGCACTGCTCACAAGAGTGGTGCCACACACATGCACACCCGCGTTCACCCACCTCACAGGTGACTGTGCCCCAGACTTGGTGACCACAGGCCCTTGCTCCTTCCCTGGGTTCTTGTCCGGACCCTTCTTCCTGGCTCCTGGGCCCTCTTCAGTTCTGTCTCAGACCCTTAAACCTCGTACTGAGGAGTCCGACCCACTCGTGTCTTAGGGGGTCAGCGGGGCCCGGGAGGCAAAGAAACGAATGCACCTTGGGCCTCGGGTCAGGAAGTCCAGCTCATCCTGCATCCTCCACGTGTACCTGCCAGGCCTTATCTTATCAGTGTCCTAGTCTTTCCGCCGGGAGGTTACTTAGATAACCTCTGAGGTCCTTTCTCTCTCAGACCCCATGGCTTTAAGCAGGACCCTGTCACTTCTCCTGGGAGACAATTCCCAGGACGCAGAAGCACTCCCTTGGGCTGAGGTCGTCCCGTAGGGGATGGACCCCAGCCTCAGCTCTCCTCCGGTCCACACGATCTCCAGGGCCACCTTGTCCAGCCGCCCCTGTGAGCCCAGCTCCGTGCGAGCCCACCTCTACATCCAAGTCCAGGAGCTCCGCCTTGAGTACAGAACGCTGACCCCTCCTCTTCCTCAAGGCCCCACTGCAGCGAGAGAGTCCTCCACCCACAGTCACCGGGTTAGAAACCCCAGGGGGAGGGGGCGCGCCCTTCTTTCCCTGCCTCTTCTCCGACCCCCACGTGCAGCCAGGAAGCGAATCACACGCCTTCTGTGTCCCAAGTCCCCCTGCTCATCTCCAGTCCCCCGTCTCGGCCTCAGCTCAGGCCTCCACGATCTCTGCCCGATTGCCCCATCGTGACAGCGCCAGACGGCAGTGCACACCACAGCAGGGCTGCCGTCTCCTCAGAACGGAAGCCAAGTGTCCAGGCCTGGCCCCAGAGCCCCCGGTCCCCTTGCTCCGGCCCACCTCTCCAGCCCGTCCCCTCCCCAGCCACGGCCTCCACACTTCCCCCCTTTACCTCTCTCTCCACCGGATGCCTGACCCACCCACTTCAGCTGACAGCTCTCCATCCTCCCAGCCTTCCCTCCAGGGCACAGCTTACCTGCTGTACTGGACTCTGTCCATCTGTCCCCATTGTCCCCAGAGCTCCTGGAGGTCAGTTTCTGAGCCCTTTCTCTTGAATCTCCAGCACATAAACATGTCCGTGAACGGTTGAGTGAAGGACTCGCTGCCATGTCCGTGGTTCCTTCTCGTCTCCACCTGTTATGTCACATGCTGTAGATTAGGGAGTGGGCCTCATCAGGGAAACTTACAAAGGCCGAGGGTCAACAAGAGAAGACACACGTCCCCAGGTCCTCCATCTCACAGGAGGCGCAGCAGGTCTAGGACGCGCCGGGGCTGCGGTGTGAGCCTGCACGGCAGTGGAGGGACCCGGGACCCCTCCTCCCCCGTGGCTTTCTCTTTTCATAGAGGAATCAGGAAGGGAAGGCAGCCTCGCAGACGAGGGGGTAAACACACTGCTTGGTGCCAGTCGGGCGGGGCTGGGAGTGCAGCTGTTTAAGGAGTTGTCTGAGACGCCAGCCCCCCAGCACACAGGACGCTCGGAGCCCTGGGGCATGGCTGTCCTCCCTGCCGCGGGGAACGGGTATTCCGAGCTGGGTTGCTACCTGTCCCAGAAAGCTCACTGTGCAAACGACCCAGAGAGCTCCCCAGCATCATGTCCAGTGACTCAGCTGGTTGAGCCTCACCAGGAACGTGTGACTGGATGGAGGCTGGCGGGGTGACGGCACCTGGCACGCAGGTGACACATGAAAGCCCCTGACACAAATGGGTACCCAGCTTACCTTTGTTTCCCTTCTCATCCCTGCTCCAACTTCGTGAATTTCCGCAGAGGTTCCTGGGGGTGCAGAGGAGGTGGCCCTGTCATCTGGGGCTAAACGTGGACGCTCTGAATGGTCTCGGGGGCGGGGGCTGAGTGGCTGGACAGCTCACCTTCCACAGTCGTCCTCAGGTGTGTCGCGCCCTTTTGGAACATGCATTCCCTTTCAACAAGGTCCTGATGTACATTTTTATCCAACATCACCTACTTTTTAAAGACCAGAGGTCCTACGCACTGCCGTTTGTTCCTGGGTCGCAGACCCCTGGGAAGCCACGTCCCAGACCAACTTCAAGATGACAGAATGGGTGGGAGGTAAGGACAAGCCTGCCTCGGAGATGCTGGTGGAGTCCCACCTCCATCCCCTTCCCATGGTTGCCGCTTATCTGGGCCTTTCTCAGCACGTGGACCAGTGGTTCTTAAACTTCAGGTGCTTCAGAGACACCCGGGAATGGTCTGGAATGTCCCCTTCCAGGCTCCATAGCCAGAAGATCTCCTCCAGTAGGTCTGGGTGGGGCCCGGGGTTCTTCCCTTTTTAACTTTGTGTCCCCAAACTTCATCCTGAGCTGGGCTGGGTGAGGCCAGCACGCGCTCAACGTCACAGGGTTTGGGGAGGGTGGGCAGAGCAGATGGGCAGAGCACGGGGGGCGTTGGGACCAACCTGACCTCCCTGCAGGGTGGGCGGCAGGCCGTATGCCTTCTAGGGATACGGTGGGCGTGGGACCTGGGGTCTTCAGTGAGCCCCTCCTGACTTGCGGAGGAGGAGAAGCCAGGCCTGGGGTCTGAGGTGGGAGCTTCCTGGAGGCTCCCACGGAGACGAGCGCAAAGCATCGGTGTGTGGAGGCCCCGGCCGCCTCTGCCTGAGGGGCCTTGAAGGCTCTGCACCGGGGGCAGCGTGGGAGAGCGGCTGCTGTGGAGAGTGGGGTGCCGGTGAATCAGCCCCGAGTCGGCTCTAACCAGCCGGAGTCAGTCCTGCCGAGCGTGGGCTCCGGGGACAGGGCCACATCCCACGGCAGAGCCCTCTTGGAGAGGACAGAGTGTGGAGAGCGGAATAGCACCGCCCCTCCGCCACCCAGTGCCCGCCCTCATCCTGGCAATGCTGGGGTCCCTGCTGACCTGGTCTCACTCTTTGGACAGAGGGTTCTGTTTCCTCACGGAAGAGGGCCCGCAGGTCGGGGTCAGCGCACGTGGGCAGCTGCCTCTGTTTCAGCGGCTGGCGGAGGTTTCCATGCTCTGCTTCTTGGTGGCTGGGTATCAGAGACCCCGGCTGTAGCTTCAGGGTTTGTGACTCAGAACTGTGGCACTTTCCCTGCCCTTCTGTCTCAGCCCTTTCTCAGCACCAGCTCCCGTCCCGGCATCCTTGGGTCCCCTTTAGAGAAGGCATCGTGAGTTCTCTTCTGAGAAGTACAAGGAACTGCTCACTGATGAACTAAGATGTTTCTCAAAGATGTGCGATTTTTCACCACCCTAATTTCTGCATTTTAACATTTGAAGACTAAAAACCCCCTTCCTGCCCAGTGGATCGGAGCTCTCCTGTGGGATGGACCGTGGGGCTCGGGATGTGGCCTGGGGGTGTCCCCCTGATCCGACCGTGGAGGATCCCCCTTCTCCTCCACCACCTTGGGGGACCTGCTGGGTCAGAATTTTCCAAATCCCCAGTCTAATGACTCCTTCTCTCTCTTCTACTTGTGTTTCCTAGGAACGGGTGGAGTATCTCTTTCTCATCATTTTTACTGTGGAAGCATTTTTAAAAGTCATAGCCTATGGGCTGCTCTTTCACCCCAATGCTTACCTCCGCAACGGCTGGAACTTGCTGGATTTTATCATTGTGGTTGTCGGGTGAGTACAGCCACCCCTCCCCCCACTCCGCCGCCCTCACCCAGTACCGGCCCCTTCCCATCCGTATCTGTGTCTCTGGTCACAAGGGCCCTGGGCTTCAGGCCAGACGAGAGGATCTATTAAAAATCACTTTGGATTCAGACTGTCTCCAAAGGGAGAGGAGCGTCACCTGGAACAGCGCCAGCCGCCGTTCCCACCTGCACACGCATGCACACGCACACACACGCGCGTGCGCACAGGTGAATCCGAGGCCTTCTGGTGGAGCCCAGGGGCCTCTGTGCAGTCAAGGAGATGCCCCAGCTGTAGGTCTCCCTCTGGGCCTCACCTGGCACAGCGGCCCCTGGACGCCTCCCCTGCGGTGTGGCCGAGTGTGTCTGGTTAGGCTGGATGGAAAGGCGGCTGGCACCCGGGAGCCGGGACACCCACCTGCACCTCTGCAGGGTCCTGGCTCGGTGGCTGCCGGGACCGGACAATGGGACTAGGAAGGGCCGAGGGCACGGGGCCAGACGCACTTCCCCGGACACCCCGCTCTGCTGTAGAGGCCAACTCAGCCTACACTCAGAAACAAAGCGGCGTCAGGAAGCTTCAGGAAACCCTGGAAGTGACGATCTCCTTATCAAGGCATCGGTAACTTCAGGAAAAGATTCTCTGCGGAATGTTTGTACAAAGAGACCCGCACGCGCCACGAGAGACACAGCTGACCGGGCTCCAGTCACTCGTCCGTCTGCGGAGGGCAGGGTGCCCGAGCCTCGGGGCTGACCTGACGCTACTTCAAGCCCACCTGCCGTTCACTCCCTCGCTGTCCCCACAGCCTCCGGGGTCAGGTCAGCGTGGCATTAGGCTCCTACCCCAGGGGGCCCTTCCCAGCCGCCCCGGGAGGATGTTGCGCTGGTGGCTTCCCCAGAGCGCGCCCTGCTCAGAGCCTCGTGGGCGCCCGGCCTTTCCTGCAGGAAGTGACGGAGCAAATCAGGGCCATTTGGGAGCGAGTCCCTGTCTCCGGGCGTCTGGAGCTGTTTCCGAGTTTTCGCCGCTGTCCTTTTTTGCCTGGCCAAGCATGACACGCTTTGCATTAACATCAGGGACACTTGGGAGGCATGAGGGACACGGAAGTTTCTGGACTCTGCCACGTGCGGATGTCAGGGTGAAGCTGCAGATCTGCGAGAGATTTGCTACTTCTGTTCACTCCAGGATAAACAGATTGACTGACAAATGCCTTGAACTAACTCAGCAAACCATGGCAAAGTCCTTTAACGTGCTTCTTCCTGATACATCTAAATCCTTTTAAATTCAGCATCTCCCTCAAGGCCCGAGTCTCCTGGGAACCTTTCACACACTCACAGAAAGAGCCCAAGGAATGAGATCTGGTGCTTCTGGGGCCAACAGAGAGGAGAGGCGCCTCTTGGGGCAGAGAAGCTAAGTCTTCTCCCGTCTGTGGGCTGAGTTGGCATTGGTCTATATGATGCTCTGCCCCAAACGTGGCCTCACCTCTGTGTGGGATGGAAGCAGGAGACACAGGTGGACCTCAGACAGGGGCCCATCTCCCACTTGCATGGACCCGGCTCCTCCCGAGACTGCAGCAAGCGGACTGCTTGTGGGTCAGCCCAGATCCCAGCCACATCTCCCCGGGCCCGGGCCATCAGGCTGAGGAAGAGAGGGACGCGTCCAGACTTGGCACTCTCCCAAGGGTGCCTCCCTCGACTGTTTATGACATGGAGGCTACGATGCCAGCGCTGGCTCAGCTTGTGGTCCACCATGACCCTCTGGCTTTTTCCCGTTGATCTTGCAATCGGCCACATTCAGCACCTGGTTTCTCTTCTCCAAGGCGCTGGTCTTTGGGGCTCTCCATCCAGTCTAGACTCAGCCCATCCTTCTAACTCGGAAAACGACACACCCCCATGGAGGGTGTGGCCCAACCACCTCTCTTCAGCTGTGCCCTCCCATCCCGACCCCTTACATGGATGTGCCTTTGCTTCCTCGTGTCTCCTGGGAAATATCTGCTCACCTTGGCCCCTCCTGGGCAGCCTCTGCCCTCCCGCAAACTAGAGGGAGTCTGCCTTGCTCCGGGGGAGGTGGGCTTGCCCGCCTGAGTGCCGGGCTGAGGGCCCCTCTCCCTTCTCTGCCTTGCCACCCAGGAGGCCAGTGCCAAGGCATTGCCCTCCCCTCGCATGCCCCATTCCTTCCGGAAGTGGAGGAGTCTTCTCGGAACAGTGGGGACATGGGGCTGCTGAATGGATGTGGGAGGACTTCAGAGCCTCTGTGAGCTACTCCCCTCCACCCCCATCAGGCACCCGGGAACCCTCCCCGCAGCCCCGCCAGGCACCCGGGAGCCCTCCCTGCACCCCCGCCAGGCACCCGGGAGCCCTCCCTCCGCCCCCATCAGGCACACGGGAGCCCTCCCTCCGCCCCCATCAGGCACCCGGGAGCCCTCCCTCCGCCCCCATCAGGCACCCGGGAGCCCTCCCCGCACCCCCGCCAGGCACCCAGGATCCCTCCCTCTGCACCCATCAGGCACCCAGGAGCCCTCCCTCCGCCCCCATCAGGCACCCAGGAGCCCTAAGCAGATGCGCCTGCTCAGACCGTCTACTCCAGCCTAAAGGGCCTCACTATGTCTCCAGCTCCCTCCCAATATGGGGCCCTGCCTCTCGGCTCACAGGGCCTCTAGAGACCATCGTCCTCTCTGACAAGCTCCAACGTCCAGCTAAGGAACTGCCAGACACACCGCCTGGAGAAGGTCCCTGGCCCTTAGGCACCGGTGGGCACCAAGCAGTGGTTTCGCCTCTACAAAGTGTGACTGAGGAGAAACACGCCGGCTACTGCAAGCTGAGAACACGTCTGAGGCCCATTCCTGAAATTTCTGCCCCTTCAGGGGTTAAAGGAGAGGATGGCTGTTCAACCTCTGTTCCCTTCCCCGAATAACATTTGTGAACATCTTGTACGTTGATAAGCGTGTTCCTTTCTTCCAGGAAGTTCTAGGAACCAAATCTGGTTTGCATTTGGAATGTTGTTCAACAGACTTGCAAACTGGTGTCCATGTCCTGAGTTTCTGTGATCCAGGCTTCCATGGAAAGAACATTTCTCTGCAGAGAAAAGACCCCGCTTCCCCCACCCTGGAGACCTCTGCCTGGGATAGGAGGTGTCACCAACTAACACATGGACCCGTCAAACTGCCAAGCTGGGGTGAAGGAATCACAGAACAGGCAGGAAGACATCAGACGTGGTCTGGCCACAGAACCCACCGTGCAGACACAGCCTACTCGGGGTCCCCGCGTGGAAAACAGACCAAAGGGAAGCCACTCATCCCTGGCCTCACTGCCCAAGAAGTCCCCGAGGGTTCTCCGGAGCACGTTTTGCAAATCCCTGTTTAGACCAGCTCCCTCCGCTGGGCCCTGCCTGGGTCTAAGCTTCTGCTAAGCCCCCAGCTGCAGCTTCCCCATTCCCAGACCCAGCCCCCTAGGGCAGGAGTCATAGAAGCCCCAGCCTGTTCCTCAAGACCAGGCTGCCCAGGCCTGGTTCAGGTCTGCTCCCTGGGCGTCTTCCTTGGCCCTAGGCACGACCCAGTGCGCTCTCCTGACCATGAGTCAGTGGGACGTCTCTAGGTACAAAGACAAAGATGGTCCACGGGGCCCTTTCCCATATTCTTCTCGGTTCCCACAAGTGGCCCAGGATCCCAGACTCCCATTCCCGTACATTCTCTGCATGTTCTAATCCCTCCCGAAACCTTTCCAAGGTGCCCCGTGTTCCCCACAATCCCTCCCCATTTCTGGTTTTAACAAACATTTTCTGTAAAAGTCCAGATACCAGATTTCAGCTTTGCAAGCTTTGTCCCAACTACTCAGCTCTGTCGAGAAAACATCAATATGGAGCGGGGTGTCGCTGGACCCTCATCAGATTTGTTCCAGAGCAGGGAGCCCGGTGCTGCCCTAACCCCAGCACCGGTCCCTCCTTCTCTCTCTCACTCTCCCCGCGGGTCCTGCTGCCCTTGCCGTCTCTCGAGATACGGCCCCTCCCCTCCAAATGCTCGCAGGCCAGGAGAGGAGCCCTGCTTCCTCTTATTCTGCTTTCAGACCACCGCCTCCCTCCTCTCTAAGCCCCTCCAATTCTTTTTTTTTTAATTTATTTATTTTATTTTTGGCTGCATTGGGTCTTCGTTGCTGCACGCAGGCTTTCTCTAGTTGCAGCGAGCGGGGGCTACTCTTTGTTGCGGTGCAGTCTTCTCATTGCGGTGGCTTCTCTTGTTGCAGAGTATGGGCTCTAGGCGCACGGGCTTCAGTAGTTGTGGCTCACGGGCTCTAGGGCACAGGCTCAGTAGCTGTGGCACACGGGCTTAGTTGCTCCGCGGCATGTGGGATCTTCCCGGATGAAGGCTCGAACCCGTGTCCCCTGCACTGGCAGGTGGATTCTTAACCACTGCGCCACCAGGGAAGCCCAACCCCTCCAATTCTGATGCTTGTATCCTCAGGCCCTCTACCCGTTGCTTCTCCAAGTCGTGGTCCTCCCACACCTTTGAGTCTCTCCTTGGCTGTGCAGACACGAGCTCTTGGCCAGCTCCTCCTCTCCATCACGCACTGTCCCGCCATCAGCCTCCCAGCTTCTTGGTTCCTTGATGTCTGCTTCCCCAGGGATCCTGACTCTGTCCTGTCTCAGCTGCCCACTCCCAGGGTCGAAGTCAGGATCCCCGCCATGACCGCGAGCCACATCCTCTCCATGACCTCAGACCAGCTTCCTGCTCTCCAAAAAATACCACCCATCCTTCCTGCTCCCTCCGTCCAGCACTGGACTCCGACAGTGCCCTCCTGCCCTGAGGTCATCTCTCGCCTGTGTCTGCACTCAGCTTGTACTTCTCTCTTCATTTCCTTGATCACTTGCAAAAGCACCAACTCCGACCCAGTCCGACTAGCTACTACCTGAGCTGTGCCCTTGGGGCGGGGAGAGAAATGCACAAGGCCGGGCCGACGTGCCACTTCCCCTCAGGACCACCTCCTCCCAGAGGCCCTGGGCGCCTGGAAACCCCACTGCACGGCCTGGCTCCGTTCAGCCCACCACTTTCTTCCGCGACCCTTTTATGCCTTTGTTTCACCCTTCAAGCTTCCAGAACCCCCTCCCCTTTCACATTCCAGCTGATGGCTTGCTACCTGATTCGCTGAGAAGAGAGCTGCAGTCAGAGGAGGACTTCCGTCTGTTCCCACACCTGCATCTGAACCCACAATGCACCTCCCTCCCCGGGACCATGATGAACCGTCCTGGCTACTGGGCTCGTGCCCCTCTGTGGGCATCCTGCCCTCCTGCCCACCAGGGGTACGACCCTTCCAGCCACTGTCCCCTCACTTCTTTACTGCCCATCGTCTGTCTCTATTACATGATTTCATTTAAAAACAAGCAAAACGATTCCACGCCCTCTTGCAGGAACTACCTTTTCTCTTCTCGTACCTTTTTCCAGCAAAATTCCTCAGGAGGGGTTCTTTCTACAGGACCCTCCCCTCCAGCTGCGGTGGCCACTGAGCGCTCACTTGAGATGCACTGTATGTGTAGAGCACACAGCAGGCTTCAAAGACGTAGTGCAAAGCACAGAGGGACAAACATCTCACTAAAAACTCTTTATTACTGGGCTTCCCTGGTGGCGCAATGGTTGAGAGTCCGCCTGCCGATGCAGGGGACACGGGTTTGTGCCCCGATCCGGGAGGATCCCACGTGCCGTGGAGCGGCTGTGCCCGTGAGCCATGGCCGCTGAGCCTGTGCGTCCAGAGCCTGTGCTCCGCAACAGGAGAGGCCACGGCAGTGAGAGGCCCGCGTACCGCAAAAAAAAAAAAAAAAAAAAAACCCTCTTCATTCCAGCTGAAGTGATCATATTTTGGTTATGCTGGATTAAATAAACTCTATCATCACCGTCCATGTCGCCTGTTCCTTTTTCACTTTATAGTGTGGCTACTGGAAAATCTACACTGCACACACGGCCCACATCTGTGCTTTGCACCGTTTCTGTTGGACAGAACCGTCTCGAACGCTCCTCTGTCCTCTCTGGAACATGTGTCTGTTACCTTTGTCCCCGTCACTCCAACATGACAGGTGTTGCCAGGGTCTGAGGCCGGTGGTCAGTTTCCTGCCCTGGTGCCTGTGGCACCACGTCAGTTTCTACGGGACCACTCGTTTGTGCCCAGGCTCAGATCAAAGCCAGGGGCTTGTCGGGAGGTGCTGGGATGTGGTGCCAGGGCACAGGAGCCAGGACGCTGGGAGGGCAGAGGAACGGGCCCTGACGGCAGCCTCCACCTGCCTGACGCCCTGCCTGGGCTGCCAGCGCCGCGAAGCCCGCTCGATGTCAGCACAGGGCAGGCGGGACCCACCCCGAGGGACTGTCATCCGAAGAGGGTCTCGGACCCTCCCGCACACCGGACTGATCGTGGCTGGAGGCACCTGCACATTTCACCTCCCAGCATCCCTCGGAGAACTCGGAACCCCGCCGGGCAAGCAGAACATCCTGACGCTCCCTCTCTCCTTCTCTTCCAGGCTTTTCAGTGCAATCTTAGAGCAAGCCACCAAAGCCGACGGGGCCAACGCCCTGGGAGGGAAGGGGGCTGGATTCGACGTGAAGGCGCTCAGGGCGTTCCGCGTGCTGCGGCCCCTGCGGCTGGTGTCCGGGGTCCCGAGTAAGTAGCCTGGGCCTGTCGGCCACGTGACCTCCTCACCGTCCCCCAGTCTCCCCCTAACCTGAATTGCCAAGGAACCTGATTTCACATACACGGAGGGTTTTCTTGAATGGGTTCCTTTGCTCTAAAGGTCCCAGCTCTGTTGTGAGTCCATTAAAACCCACTGTGGCCCCCGCTCCTGTGAGCGCCTGGGGAATCCACAGCCTGATGGAGACAGCTGCACAGAGAACAGCCTCGCGGCCATCTGAGCAGCCCCCCGTCCGCCACCCCGGCCGGGGCTGGGGGTTTAAATACATTTGCAGCAGAAGAGCAGTGAGCTACTCCCCACGCTCCCAGGGCATGGGAGCCGATGGGATTATCTCTGCTGTCTGTATTGTTCCAAAGAACGGTGGTCAGTTTCCTGCCCTTGTGCCTGCGGCACCACGTCGGTTTCTATGGGACCACTCGTTTGTGCCCAGGCAAAAAAAGCATCAGTGCATGTTCAGGAAGTTCTGTTTTGCCACTTCTGCCAGCCCTCTCCTCCTTTCACGTCACGTGGGGCATCTCCGGCCACAGAAGCCCTATTTTTGGGCTCGCCGCCTGTCAGAGTGAGAACTGCTTTTCCCTGAGGGGGGAGGGCGCTGGCCTGGAGACAGGCCCGGGGACGGCGCCCCTTCTTCCTCTCCGGCAGCAGCCCCCCATGGCGGAGGGCCCCCCAGCCCTGGACAGAGAAGGTCGGGCTCCCAGCGTCCGCTCCGGCAAACCCCGGCCCAACCTGCTCCCGGGCTGAGTCCACTTCCGGACCTCCTGCCGCTGCTGTTCGGCTGGGGGTCACTGAGCCTGATTCTGGACGTGGGTGCTGGGACGTGTCACCGTCCACTCAGTGTGACCAGGTCTGGGCCCTAACTTGAGGTTAACTTGGAGACGGGGCCGGGCCAGGAAGGTAGAGGGGGCCTCTGCACACCCACCTGTCCAGCTGCACAGCCACCACTCAGTGGGTGAAACCTCTCAGGGTGTAGAACTGTGGGAGCACGAGGGATCTTGTGCTGACGCGTCCGGTGCTTTCCGTACCCACACAGGATAGCGGAAAGGTCCTCCCGGAGTAACGGAATTAACCCCAGCAGAGCAGAGAGAACCAGGCCTCCTGAGTGAAACCAACTCCCCCACGGCACCGCGTGACCTCCCGTAAAGAACTGCGTGCGTCTTAGACGCTTACAGGCGTGTCCTGCCTCTGCAGTTACCTCATAAGCCCCCTGAAGCCCAGAGCTGTGCCCTGTGTTGTCTCTGACTCCTGCCTGATGCTCGCCTGGTCTCTGCTCGGGGCGGGAACTCCCTGGGTGGGCAGAGGCAGGAGTGGGGGTCCCTGGGCAGCGGTGGCCTGTGTTAACTCCCAGCGAGTGTAGACCGTGGCCCCTCTGCTTGGTCTTAACCACTGGACACTAAGAATGGCAACAGTGTACGTGACGGCTGAGACCCAGGGCCCGTTTGCAAAGCCTAAATTGTTTGGCTTTTCGTGGTCAATTAGCCATCACTCCATAGGCCAAACTCAAGGAAGGAGAAGGCAGGGTGGGAATCGGTTCGCACAAGACTTTAAGGGGTTTAGCACGATGGTGCAGCCAACGCGCCAGTGGCAGGGACTGTGAACTGAGCCCACGCTTCGACCCAGCACGCTACCACGGGCACGATGACGCTGACCCTGCTGTGTGTGCGCTTTTTAGGGCCCACAGCGTCACGGCACCGTGCAGGGCGTGAGGACGCGTCATGAAAATAAGTATGGTCCCTTCCCTGGAGGAGCTTGAAAATCTAATGAGAGTACAGCTTTTGCTGCAGGAAAAAACCATCCCAAACTCCCGGTGACTGAAAACCAGAATCACGCATCCTTGGTTCGTGTTGCATGAGGGCTCCGGGCCTGACCAACTTCCGTCGTCACCTCATCCCAGAGCCCAGATTGAGGGAGCGTCCAGCGTGCGTGCCTGTGGCCCTCACGGCACGGGGCGGCTCTCGCCAAGGGGCACACAGTCAAACCACACAGGCATATTCTAGGCTTTTGCTCAGCCTCGTTTATATCATGGCTGCTCACATGCCAGTGGCCAAAGCAAGTCACCCGGCTGCCGTGGTCCCAGAGATGACGGGACACAGAACTGTGCTGTCCATACAGAGAAGCACAGGTGAAGGGTTGTGATCAAACAGTCCACTATCCCTAAGAGACGGAAGGGGTGTTATTAACAGGACCAGTTATGGTGATGACTCTGGTACAGAGGTTTCTAATCAGAGATGCAGGGGAGCTGGATCCCGTGGAGTAGCCGGGGCTTCTCCACAGAGGAAGCTTCACGGACCGCGTGCCGTCCATGTGCGGTGCCGACGGCAGCTCTGCACTGCGGGGCTGGGAGCCATTCCATCGAGAGGGTGAAGACGGGACTCTGCCTCTCAGGTGTGAGGCCCTGCTGCCCCGCCGTGGATTCAGGGAGACGTTCTGTCAGTGAAGCTGGTGCTCTTGCAGCCATGGGGCCTACAGGTAGCTCTGGCTTTCTCAGACAGCTAGCAGCTGGGTCTTGTTTTCTGTGGGTCACTGGTGAAAAGGGAAAAGCTCTTTCGGGGGCTTCAAGGCAGGGCTGACCCAGCCTTTCTCACTGGGAGAGTGTCTCTGCGACCTTTTAAGTAGTGACGTGTGTAGACCCAGGTGGCTAAGTGCCCCGGGCTGGTCTGGTTGATCTCGTCGCAGACAACGTCACCGACGTCTCCCGCTGCAGACTGGACGGAGGCCTCCCTCCTCCGATGCCACAGCCTTTGGTTCTCCTCCCCGCCGCACCGCTCCCATCTCCTCCTTCTCTCTGGACCTGCCGCTGCCCGGCTTTCTCCCCCATGGCAACGCCGAGGCATCTCTTATTGAGACCACCGGGGATCTCCACGGTGCCGAATCCAGCGGCCTGTCTCGGGGCCGCTTACCTGACTCTCTGCAGGATTAGATTCAGCGGGTGGTTGAGCCGCATCATCACCGGGCCTTGGGGACGCTGTCCTTTCTCAGCTCTGCCCTCACTCCACTTGCTTTTCCTTGTGGGAGTCGCCGGCTGACTTCCCCTCGCCTTCTCCTCCTCTTACTGCTGGGAGCGCCAGCTCCGTCCTTGGGCCTCTTGTGTCTCTGCACCGGTCCCTGGTGGTCACGCCCAGTCTCCTGTGTGGTCTCTGATAACGGCGAGCTGCTGCCACCCGCACACAGCCCTCTCCTCCGAGGCCAGACTTGCACTGCCGCCTCCGTCCCTTCGCGGGAGGCCTGGTAGGCAGCGCCCTGAGCTCACCATGTCCCCCAGAGCCTTTCCCGTTTGGTAAAGGTCAGCCTCATCCTTCTAGTGACTCAGGCGCAAATCCTTGGCCTGTTTCTTTGTCCTACCCTTTGCTTCCAGGCCCTCAGAGCATCCTACGAGCCACACCTTCCAGATATTGTTTCCTGCCACCTCCGTGTCCACTGTAGTGCCCACCACCCCTCACCCGGACCGTCACCGCCGCCTCCTGGCAGGAGTCTCTGTTTTGCCCTTTGCTCTTTGTCACAGCCGGGGCTCAACACAGCAGCCAAATTGTCCTCTCAAACTACGTGCCACTGTTCCGGGCTCCCCACCTCCTGAGAGACAGAGCCCCTCTGCAGCCTCCCCTCACCCCCGCCCTCCTCGGCCCCCCCACCGGCCCCCGCGACCCCCAGCTGTGCCGCAGCAGCCCGAGCCCGCTCACATGGTGGGACCTCCGTCTGGGCGCCCTTCGCACGGCTGGCCTCGCGGCCTCGGCGTCTGCGGAAACGGCACCTTCTCCGGGGCCTGTCCCACCGCCCGTGTCCTCCGCCCACTTCCCCCCTTTATTTCTCCTACATCTCTCTCCACCGTCTTGCCCTCGTTTATCTGTTTGTCACCCCTGGCCTCACAAGAACATAACCTCCACGAGGACAGCAGTTTTTTTGTTTTGCTCACTGCTGTATCCTCAGCCTCTACAATTATCTACAGAAATGCCAGGTCAATCGTTGTGGGGTGACTGGGCCCCTCATGGGCTCCACGTGGCCGGGACACAGCACCAACCCACCCCTAAGGGACGCTGGTACTGAAGACCTTCCGTTCACAGGTGCCTCCTTTAGTGTTTCCGAAAGGCTTTTTTCTTCTAACTTATTTGGTCTTCATGACAACTGTGTGCTGTGTAGCTGTGCACATAGGTAGTATACAGTCAGCTGCTGTTTCTGTAACAAACAGGTTAACTGGGTGGTTTGCGGGACCAGAAACTCCAAGCCCAAAAAGTTACTGTTATTTTTTGCGTCCAGATGTGTATTAAATGGCATTGAAATCTTAGGGTCACAGATCATGGAGGGAGAGAGATGCTTGTGAGGGTACAAGCCCATGAGTCATTTATTAATTTTTTTCAACAAGACCCACTGAGTACCTACTTCATATAGGACTTTGCTAGCTGTCTCAGAAGATACAGAAATGAGTCAGACACTAAGAGTGTTCTCAAAAAGACTGACTTGTCAAAGAAAATAATGTTCATAGAAATGAAGGTAGAGAACAAAAATTGGAGATGTGCAAAAAAAAGTTGAGTACGACATGTTGAATTCTGTGACAGGTGTGCTTTGGGGGGCTCTGTACTTTGGGGAGTGGGGATAGAGATCAGGACAGGCTTCTTGGAGGAGGAGGACAGACCTTGAAGGGCAAGTGAGGAGGGGCCGCCAGGAAGTCAGGAGGGAGGAGAGAGGGTGGCTGAGGCCCTAGAGTTGTACACAGGGAGGCTGGGGATCGGGGGGGGGGGGTGCGTCTCACTGTGGGTGCAGAAACCAGCTGATGCTCTCAGTGAGACGCTGTGCAACTAAGGTTTGATCACTTTGCTCCATCAAATTCCCACAGTAAAGGAAGTGAGTCCCCAGGGCTTGTGAGGCCCCACTGTCCCTTGGCAGAGGTGCAGACAAGCAGGCATGTTGCACCACAGAGAAGCCACAGGGACGGTCAACATTACACATGACGTCCGCGTCCGTGCAAGGCCGGTGCCAGGCT